ATTTATTTTATTTATAGTTATATATAGTTTCATTTAGGTTTTGCATATTTTTAAGCAAATATTTTTAAATATTTACCAGAAACTTGGCAAACTTAATTTCATAGAATTTCTAAGTAAGCTTCATTACAATATTGAAAGCTGCAAAGTATTTAAAGATTAAAAATCTTTTTTTTTCGAATTTATTATGAATTATTTGTAGGTCTCGAGTGGAAGTGCTCATGGTTGAAAAGTTAGGCCAAAGTAAAGTTAAATAAATCCAAACATAATCCATCTTTCAATATTATATACATACGCATATGTATGTGTGCGTGTGTGCTCTGTTATTATGAGAACTGTAGTGGTGCGCACTCTAAGCAGCCAAATTGACTTCCCACTTTCGCTTGTATGGCAAACTTTTTAGAATCTTTTGGGCAAAACTTGTTGTTTGGCCCCGCCTGCATTTTAGATGAAGTTTTTCCACTAACATTGCCACCTAGACGAGAGGACGGACAAAATACTCTTACTTTCATAATCGAAAAAAAATTACAGCGCTCAGACATGTTGCCTGCCGCTCTGCTACAGCCAATTCGGTAGCTCTTCTACGGCAACTCTTATACACTGTTCGAAATTGCTTCTCATTTTGTGTGCACTCTGCTAAAGTTGTTCGAAATTATATTCAGCTATTGCTATTGCTGGCGTAGCAGAGTTTTGTATAAGAGTCGCGTCTGCACAGTTCGAAAGGTTTAGCAGAGAAGAGCACCAATTCGACAACGGCTCGGCGCAAGCGCCATGGCTGCTGCGTGAGAGTCGTGTGCCTCTGCTAAACGAAGCTCGAATACGAAGCAGCTGTACTAAAACATAAAACGAAGCTGCAATCGTTTTAGTTAAACTGAGAACAACTGAGAGAGTACATGGAAAAGTTATTTCAAAAGAAAAATGAAAATATGATAATAGATAATAGCAATTAATGAAAATATTATGAAAATAAATATATAAAATATTTAATTTAATATAAATTGTGTAAATATAATTGTAAATGCCAGCACATTCAGTTGCAACATCTTTTGGGTCTCGTGGCTGGCTTAGCAGTGACCCAAACCGACATTTGACTCGTATAAGTTCGTGTTTGAGTTCGATCGGCCACTTGATACGCTGTTTGAGTTCGCTTCAGACGTCTGTGAGCGGCGCTTCAAGTTGGACCTTGTGGGCAGGCGGCATTCGTGGCTGCGTTTAGTCTTCAGCGGTCTGCGCGTTGTTTATGTACGTTGTCGCGTCTGTCAAGTCACTGTCAAGCGTGAGTCAAGCGTGCGTCTTACGACGATCAAAACAAAACAAAGTCGAGAAAACGAGAGTGGCTAAAAAGAAAAACAACTAAAAGTTGCTAAGAAATATTTGCCTAAACGAATTTTAAACAACAGTTCATATTAACTAACCTCTCTGAGTGTGTGTGTGTGTTGCTGTGTCTGTGTGTGTCTGTGCATGTGTTTGTGTATTTATGTAAAATGCATGGCTCAAATGCATGGCCAAGCCTAGCGGAGGCAGCGGCTTGCAATTAAACACCAGAAAAGATACCAAAGTATCTGCGACTGTAAACAGCCAAGAAGAAATCAGCAATAAATTTATTAACAAATCGAAATACACACATATATCCATATATGTATATGTGCAACACATCAGAAGGCAACAAGATGCAGTTTTGGATAACTTTGACATTTGCATTGCTGGCGGGTAAGTTATTAAGCGTCATGTGCGCCAAAAAATGTATCTCACAGTTGCAGACGCTACGTTGACCGCACCAAAAAGTTCATGACATTTGGCTTACAAAATAATAAAATGGAAAAAATAGTGAAATATGTATAGAAAAAACAACAGCAACAACAAATAGAAGATGAGCCACAGACGCAGTCTCCGTCGAGGCAGCGTTTATCTTGCCATATGAATTGTGCGACTCCGCTGACTCTGCAGCTAACTCCTTTTGTCTGCTGTCAGTCCGTCTGTCTGTCTGTCTGCTGTCTGCTTCGGCTTCTGCTCCCGCTGCTGCTGCTGCTGCTGGTTTTTCTTGTGTTTGCTGTTGACATTTAAACACTTGTTTTTTGCCCGCTGCGGTTTCTACTACACAATGCGAATACGTATAAAAATTGCTGTTGCTGTTGCTGTTGTTGTTGTTGTTGCTGTTTTTTTGGCCAAGTGTTGCGCTAACACACGGGCCACTTGCCACCGTGCCACACCGTGCAGCAGAGCCGCCGCAGCCAGTCAGCCTCTGGCTCTCGCTTTAAATGCAAAAGTTTTTTGTATAAATTTTTTCTCAGTTATTTTGCTGTGCCTCAACTTCTCCTGCTGCTTCTTCCTTCTTCCTCTTTATTTTTTTGCTACGGCTGCTGTTTATTTGATTTATGCGACATAATTCGAGGCGAACTTTGTGGCACACATAATTTAATTTTTGCCATCACAGTTCGTTGTTGTTGTTGCAGCCTGCAGTCCGTTTCTGTTTTTAATTATTTCCAATTTTGCAAATTTGCATTTTGCATAGTTTTTGTTGTTGTTTTTTTCTTTGTATTGTAAAGTTTTTGGCGCCTTTTGTTGCCATAGTTTGTTTGGCTGCTAATTGAAACGAGCATTAAAATTCTGTTTGCATAAAAAATGTAAAAGATTTAACAACTCTAGCACAGAGAGCGAGAGAGAGATAGAAAACTTGTCACTGTTCTGCTTTTGATTCAATTCTAATGAATGTGTCGATGCCGATGAAAATGTTTGAAAATCGAATTAAGAATTTTAGTTTTGGTCCATCACAGATTTCGTCGTCGACCTTTAATCATTTTTACAGCACATGACGAATTTATTAGTGAGCATTGAAAATCTTTAATTAACACGATGCTAATTGCAAATGAAAAGAGAGTGGAACGTGCATTTGCATTTATGAGCTGAGGCGGCGCAAAGACAAAAGAATATCTTAAATATAGAAATAGATTTATGACAGGGGAAATAACGGTCCGCATTACTATATAAAGATTAGCGATGAACTGATCTATCTCTTATAAACCTGTTGAAATGGCTGTTGGGTAAATAAACACTCATAGGCTTAAAGTTTTTACGTATATTTTGACGCGTTAATAATTAACACTTTTTCTTATGAATCTAGACATAAAAAGGCAATATAAAAATATAAATTATTGTATCTTGCATAAAAAATGGTTTAAAAATATAATATGGAAAAATAGCTGTAGCCAAAGTGACTTTTATATCAATTTTATTTCTATATCAAACAAACTTAAATGTTCAGTTTAATATTGTTTAAATATGTCTTAAAAATGGTTACTTAAAATGCATTTCAATTTGCTATAAATGAATTAAACATTCAAATTTAAACAATGCCAAAATCAAACAACATATTACAAAGGTTTAAGAAATTTAAAATATTCAAGCCTAAAATCAGTGAGGCAAAATAATATGAAATAAATTCTCTTGAGCTCATCAAATTTCCTTGTCATTTCACAATTTAATTGTATACGATTACAAAATGACTTCTTTAATAAGAGAAAGAAGAAGCCAAGATGAAGAGGGAAAAATCGTTTAAAAGTAATTTAAAAATTGACAAAGATTGTGCAGCAATCGATTTTCGTGCATGTTTATTATGCGTAATTTATGTAGTTAAAAGCAAATTGCTTAAATATTTTGTGGCACATCGTTCCAAAGGGAACAGCAGCAGCAGCAGCAGCAGTTGCAGTTGGCATCATTATGATAGCAGCTTCAGCTCCAGTTGGTTTTTTGGTTGGCGCACGCCCAGGGACATGGACACGGATGGAGCTGGCAGCCGAGCAGCCGAGCAGCTGAGCCGGTGAGCTGGTTGGGGAGCAGCTGCCTCGGCATGTGGTCGAGCTCGTGGTCGCAGCTCCATTTGCACGCGCTCAAAATTAATACCAGTCAAGCTGCAAAAGGCCAAGCCAGGCAAAAAACACAAACAACATGAAATAAAAGTAGAGAAACAGCCAGCCAGGCCGGCGCAGCAGTTAACAAGAAATACACCTGCCCGACAGCCCGCAATGGCACTAACACACACACACACACACACACACACAGTTTTAAGGCAGTCAAATTTTCAACATGTGTAGCAAGCGGCCAAACCGAAAACCTACAAAAGGCGGCACAAAAATTATGATTACATTTTTTTTCTTTCATTCGTTTTTGGTGTGCGTTTTGTTGTTCGCTTTTTAGCACAACTAGAAAAATTGAGGATGTGGTTAAGCTCTGAAAAGAGGGAGAGTGAGTGAGTGAGAAAGAGAGAGATAGAGAGAGGTTGTAATACAAGACGGAGGGAGGGAAATAAAAAAGTGTAGAATGCTCAAATCTCTTTTGCCTACAAACTCGTAAATGCTGATGGCCCAAAACCAGGGAATACGGGCTATGTAAACCTGCGAATATGTAGGTTTATAGACATTCACACATATACATATATCCATCTTTGTGTGTGTGTCTTGACTATATAATCCCAGCGGTTTAGCCAGGCAAATTGAATTAAAGCTTAAACCTCGGCAAACGAACGGCTTTCGGCTCATAGCCGGACTTAGCACCGATTTGGCTTAGAGTCGTGCCTCAAAACGTGCTAAACTTTTGACGCACTTGTCTGAAACATGCCACCGTCACGCCCTCCCTTCCCTCGGCCCATCCTCTGTCCGGCTGGCAAGTGTGTGGGTTAATACGCAACCATTTTGCAGTGCATTGAACCTCGGCTAAGCTCGACGGCTAATCGGTGGGCAGCAGCAACGCCAGCAACACCAGCAGCTGGCTAAGAGAACTACTTACCAAGTACTCGTCCAGCGAGCCACTTGCTCTGATTAAAAAGAACTGCTGCAAATTATGTTGAACAGGTTGTGGGCAGCCGCTGGGCAAGGGAGGAGCCTGCTTAGCCGGCCCACATACAGCAAAGCAGCATAAAGTATTAAAAAAAATATATATGTTTAAAAGGGGGGCAGACTGACCGCAATAGCCAGAGGAAATGTTGCTCTGCCCCATTTGGAATTGGCCCAAAAAAAATGATATTTTTGCGTAATATTCTTAAACAGCTCTTCAAAGCTGCTTAGCATCTCACAGAGCGCTGAGAGAGTTGGAGTTTTTGGGTTTTGTTTTTAATTCTGTTGAGGCATTTAAAATTATGAAATCGCAAATTAACTTTTAGATTTTTACTTCTAGATAAACAATTTGTTAAAGAAATTATAGGAACATGACTTGTATTAAATTAATTCTAAACTATTATACAAATTTTTATTAGTCTGTTTGTAGAGAATTTTTTTTTTATTGCTTTAAAATTTTTTTAGTTTTTATTTATTTATATCCTAAATGCAAAGTCAGCGTCTAATTTCTTATGATTTTTTAATTTGTTTAATTCTTGTATTATTTGATGTATTTAATTTAATGCGTAATCTAAATAATTTTTGAATAATGAAAAATAAATTATTTTTTTTTGGTATTATTGTCATTGTATTAATTTGTCAAGTGCCATTAAAAAAATTAAAAGAAATTGTTTTTTTTTTTTTTTAGAATTATTTAAAAAAATACAGAGAATATTCAAAATGAATTGTTAAATAATTTTAAAAACAAAAATTTTATTAATATGGCTTATATATTGTTTTTCAAGCTTATAACTGTCCAATTAAATTTCACAACCATAAAAGCAAAAA